CTCTCTCTCTCTCTAATACACATCAGTCATCAATTCTGTAGAGTTACCTTATGTGATGTATCTTTGTTTCCTCTAGCCAACCCACCTTGCAGACTTCACTCAGGTGCAGACCATCCAGTATTCCAGCAGTGAAGATAAAGACAGGAAAGGGATCTTACAGTTGAATATTGCCGGAGCCCCGGAGGTAATTATAGTGACCTGAGTATTGCTGTAACCGGAGATGTGATAACAGGAGCAACAACCATACTAATTACAGGAAATCTGTAACATACAGTAATCCCTTGTTCTGCACATGTTCTTCGGTACAAGCCTAAAGTATATCTAAACGCAAAAAGAGATATGTGATATATTGCAGCGTTCCAGTCCTTAGAGGTGGTAGCTGCATTCGTTTTCTTTTTTCAGGCTATTTTTTCTTTATCTGTTAATCTGCCAGCAGCAAACTTCCTGTGCTAGAGCAACACTGCTTACTGACAGTACGGTATCTAGAGGAGGATTGCATGCACAATTTTTTGCAACCGCACTTTACTGGAACACACGGCATTGCGGTAGCGTGCGTTCCAGTGCGGCCGATCACACTGTGGGTGGGAGTGTATATATATATATATATATTTTCCCCCCCCCAATAATTGTATTGTAAGCACATGGCACTTGAATAGCTTCAGCCATGGAATGATACAGCAGGTAGTGGGCGGGTGAAATGGACAGCCTGCTATTGGCCATTTCAAATTGCAGGATGGCTATTGCACCCGCCCACTGCTTGCTGTGCCTTCCTCCCAGCATGGAGAAGAGAGCTAGGGGATCCAACCAACTAATCGATAATGAGAATAGTTGACAGCTATTATCATTATCAATAATAATCGATTAGTTGGTTGCAGCCCTAATAAGCTTTATGAATTTCCTTTTAAACACCGAAATACCACAACATGTGTATATATAATATGGATAGAGGGAAATACTCCAATCCATCCAATGAAACCTGTAGTGAATTAAAAAAAAAAAGTTATTGTTAAAATTAGCAAACAAGCGTTCTAATAAAAACACCAAATGCATGATACTTTCGTGAACATATACAGATGTAGCAAACATTAATGAAATGACATATACAGTGTGTGTACAGTCATCTTATCCTGATTGGAGTTCTGTTATAAATTAATTGACCCCCCAGGCTTGCAGGAGTTAATAAGTGAACACGGTCGTCCCTGTATTACATTTATGTCCTTGACACATCAGTGTGCAGCTGACAGATCTAGCAGAATGATAAAGCCTCTTTTGTTTTCTCCATCCTCCTTTCCCCAGCCTCTCACTGTGACAGCCCCGTCCCTCACCATCGCGGAAAACATGGCGGACTTAATAGATGGATACTGTCGGCTTGTCAGCGGGGCCTCGGAATCCTTTATCATCAGGCCACAGAAAGGTAAATTGATTTCTTTGCCTCAGTTCCGGCTGACAAACCACCCGGTGTCCTCGGAGTCCGGGAGAGAGACAGAATTAGAGCTCGTCGGTGTATGTGCCAGGTTGCAAAATAGAAGACTCTGCATGTTCATACGTCTACTGTTTGTGTCTAGCACAGTGGAGGGATCGGACGGTCCCAACACTGCATGGCACACAATCTATTGCAAACAGGCCTGATATCCTGTTTACTGTATTCTGCATGATCAAAGCAACAGCATATCACCACCGAGAAGAAACCTCTGGTCTGAGCGGGCTTCATGCTATTGCGGTGTATTTAAATTGTTATGAGGCTGTTATGGAGAGCACGGAGCTTATCAGAACCGCTGAAGGTTTGTGTAATTCATCACTGTCTTGTGCAATCCTGCTGGTTCTCTAATGAAGATGTAGAATGTATGGAGGGAGAGTTTAAGAAAATGCTTTAAAAAAAAAAAGACGTGTTTAGAAAGAAATAAAGGTGCTACGGAAAGTTCGACTTCCCTGGCTTCAGTTCTTTTACTGGCCAGGTATTAGTATGCACTGATAAAGTCTCACCCCCGCAATGTTGTACCAAGTCAGTGATGGGGAAAGTATGAAGAGCAGCCTTATGGACTTTCCAGAGGATGCTGCACTGCTTACGTATACTGGGCTGTGTATATCCTTCAGCGCTGAAGCTAAAGCAGCTGTCCAATATCAAGAAGCTTGCTCTGAAAGCTAAACTCCAGGAAATATGATCATTCACACTAGGGATGCACCGATACTGAGTATTTGGGAGAGTACTCATACTCGCCCCAAATGCTCTGATGCCTAGCCCGATACTTCCGGTATCAGGAAGCCAAGCAGCATGTCATTACACGCTGCACGGCTTCCTGATTTGCCGGGAAGCCGGCTCCATGCTCTCTGTGACGAGAGAGCATGGAGCTGGCTTCCTGGCCAATCAGGAAGGCGGGCAGCGTGTAATGTTGCGCTGCTCGGCTTCCTGGTTGGTCGGAAGCTCGCCAATCAGGAAGCCGGGCGCCGTGTAATGACGAGGAGCCCGGCTGTCTGATTGGTTGGGAAGCCGGCTTCATGCTCCCTTGTCACCTTATGACGAGGGAGAAACATGGAGCCGGCTTCCCGGCCAATCAGGAAGCTGGGCGCCGCGTCATTACATAGCGTCCAGATTGGCCAGAAAGCCGGCTCCATGCTTTCTCGTCACCTAGGGACGAGAAGCATGGGGACAGCTTCCCTGCTAATCGGGAAGCCAGGTGGTGAGTCTTTACACGCTTCCCGGCTAATCAGGAAGTCAGGTGGCGAGTCATTACACGCCACCTGGCTTCCTGAATGGGACTTCCGGTATTCTATATCGGCGAATAACGAAAAAAAATATCGGTACTCGTACGAAATACCGGTATTGTGCATCCCTAATTTACACACTGCACTGGGTGTGTAAATTATCATTAAAAAGACACATGTTCTGTGTGGAGGGCGGCTGCAAAGTATAAAAATCTTACCTTGCTGTATGCCACCTCCTACACCTAATGCTGCTCTTCCAGGTGCTGCGGGGAGGGAGGGAGGGAGGGATGGGACTCGAGCAGTAAAGTACTCCAGTCACATCTCCGCTCCTTCCTTCTCGCCTCTGATCACAGAGCGCCTTGTATTCTTTGAAATAAATACAAGACAGTCTGTGAATGGACAAGTAGGGAGACGGGGATGGTACCGGAGCACTATACCGCTCAAGTTGCGTCCCTCACTCCCAGCAGTGTCCGGAAGAACGGCGTTGTGCGTAGGAGCGGGCATGCTGCAGGGTAGTATTTGTGGCCGTCCTTCACACATAACATGGAGCTTATTAATGGTAATTTGCACACCCAGTGTGGTGCGTACATGATAATTTTTCCAAGATATTGCTATTGGAGGGCTGGCTTTAAGTACAGCGCTGAAGGGCGTACACATTCCAGTATATACCAGTATATGCAAGCCCTTCAGCATATTACAGCAACTCTTCCCAGAGGTTGTGTGGGTTTGCAACAACTGAAACTATACAAGTGGTTATTATCACACGCACAGTTTTTTCAGCATCATGGATCATGATATATAACATCATTCTTTGTGATTGATTATCTACCGTCCATGTTTGTCTTTTGTGAAATGAACTAGCCGAGGCGTGCTCGTCTCTCCAAATTCCTTACTAGTGGTATCAGTGTGCAGCGCAGCATACAGAATGTAGCGGCCTAAGAAGTGTAAATCAGTAGATCCAGAAACATGGCAGGTTAGTCTGTTTTCATTTCATAAAGCTGGGTTAGAAGTATATCCAGGGACACCGACTGAACAAGGCTCTAAAAAAAGACCGTTGGCAGCTGGATTTTTTCAGGTGAAGCGGCTTCCTGGCTCCGGGGACTTGTCCTACCAGCTCAGCTACTGTTATGGTTCATTTAGACTTTGTGAAACAGACAGGAACATTTGCAGGTCTCTTGGCTGCATTTATCCTGAGCGAGGAATAATAATGGCCCACGGCCACCAATTGCATTTAGATTTTTCTTCTCCAACTGTCATTTTTCAGTCCTGGCTGGAAACGGATTGTTGGCTCTGGGACATCAATGGTACAAATCAGACAAGAGACATGTTTATGTTTCACATCCGTTTAAATCGATCTGATTTGAGGGACCACAGATCATGAAAGTCTGAACCCTTCAAGATTAACTCCAGTTTGGTCGAATAAATGAAATCTGTCTCTCCGCCCCCCTGCATATGCACAAAACATTGCCCTTTTAGTCTAGGGGGGTTTAATGGCGAGCAATACTTTCCTTTTCCTCACATAGCAGCGGGCACGCTTGTCTTCTTTGCTCCAGCTTCAAAAGCGCAGGCCCTCAACATCACCACGATCAGTGCAGGTTCTACATTGTATGTGATGATATCAAAAAGATGGGAGAAGTCCGTCGATACCCAAACCAGCAGGGAGGAAGCCTACGGCACTGCGGTGTGAGGGAAGTATTGCTCTTTGTTGGGGCCCCTTAAACTAACACAAGCATTCTATTGAGTGTATGCAGGTTGGGGAGGGGGCAGATTTCATTTGTCTTGTCAGCCCGCAGGCCAAGGCTTTTGGTCATATTACCATCACTGGTGAGAACCTGGGTCAGCTTTTTCACTAGGGATGCACCGATACAGTTTTTTCAGTATCGAGTACGAGTACCAATACTTGTTTTCCGGATACTCGCCGATACCAAATACCGATACCGGAAATCCCATTAAGCCAGGCGGCATGTAAAGACTAGCCACCCGGCTTCCCGATTAGCAGAGAAGCCGTCTCCATGCTTCCTTGTCACCAGGTGACGAGGGAGCATGAGGCCAGCTTTCTGGCCAATCAGAAAGCCGGGGGTGTGTGCAATAACTCCAGTCATTACATGCTGCCCAGCTTCCTGATTGGCCAGAAAGCTGGCTTCATGCTCCCTCGTCACAAGTGATGATTCCTGATACCGGAAGCTCACGTATAGGCTAGGCACCGGAGCATTTGGGTGAGTACGAGTACTCGCCCAAATACTCAGCACCAATACCGATACTAGTATCGGTATGTATGCATCCCTATTTTTCACCACACAGAATGTATTTCAGACCCGCTATTTCTATTCTTTTATCTCTGTACATCCGTACATAAAAATAGATCCTGCCATAAATTCAATGAGGCTTCTGGCTTCCTGTATTGCTCAGTCAACACTGCCTCTGCTGCACTGAAATTACCAGCTGTGTTGTCAGCTCGGCCTAGCTGCGTTATACAACTCCACCCTATTCCCGTTCTTATCTTTTGCTCTTTACATTCATGTATTGATTTTGTTTCCAGCAAAACAATGCTGCTGCCTTTACTCCCAGGAACCTGTCATTACACGCTGCCCGGCTTCCTAATTGGCTGGGAAGCTGGCTCCATGCTTTCTCGTCACCTAGTGATAAGAAGCATGGGGACGGCTTTCCTGCTTATCAGGAAGCCGGGTGGCAAGTCTTTACACCCTGCCCGGCTTCCCGGCTAATCAGGAAGTCAGGTGGCGAGTCATTACACTCTGCCTGGCTTCCTGAATGGGACTTCCGGTAATCTGTATCGGCGAGTACCGAAAAAAAAAATATCTGTGCATCCCTAATATATATCCATGACATTAATATTTCAGTGCGTCCACTTCAGAACAAATAATTTGGGTTAGTCAGGCATGGCTTTTCTGACCGGCCCCAGTTTGGAAGTGCGTATTTCTCCCCGAGGTCAGAATGTGAGAGAAAACATGAAGTGTTCCGATCATCCTCGTCCTTTTCACCCGGCCCCCGCAGTTTGATCACATTATTAAACTCATTGCTTTGTGAGTCGGCCGCATTTCTATAAACAGACGTTGCAATCCTCTGGTGGGTTCGGGTTATTTCTCACGTTTCATGTTTTGATTGCTTGTAATTGGCTCCCGGTGGGACAGGTGAAATGTGATATTCTGTAACATGTGCAGGAAGAGTCAATGTCGGCGCTTTTATTTCTATATTACAGCTTATTCTCAGCTGTAACATTGTGCCGGATTATATTATATAGCAAAAGATCTTCAGGCCAGACTGGAGACCTAATGGAGACCCCTCTCCATCTGAGCCCCGTGTCATATGATGTCATTTGATGTCATTAGCTTGAGGCAACATTCTACATTAATGCATGCAGGGGGCAATGGTCCCTATAATGTTTTACAGTTTGTTTCAGATAAAAACAACACAGTCATTGCCCAAAACTTAATAGTAGGTACCTGCAAGAGAAGACATATTATACTTAATATTAGGGCTGCACCGATGCTATTATCGTTGCCGATGTCGAGTATTTGGGCGAGTACTCGTACTCATCCAAATGCTCCGATGCCTAACCCGACACTTCCGGTACCTGATTGGTCGGGAAGCTGGCTTCATGCTCCGTCCATCATGATTGGTCGGGAAGCCGGCTTCACTTGTTGCTAGGTAGCCTTGATTCCTGATCAATCAGGAAGCCAGGCAGTCTCGGGAGGGGAAGCCGGTGTTCTTTCGATAGAACACTGGCTTCCTGATAATCGGGGCACACGGCACCGGTGTCAGTATTCGATATTGGCGAGTACCGAAAAACAATTGGTACTCGTACTCGATACCATAAAAACGGTATCGGTGCATCCCTAACTACTTGGACTCCTAGAGGTCTGTTTGTAGAACTTTGCTGGACAGATGCTGTACACATGCCACTAAAGCCTCTAGATGGCGCTGAGGAGTATCTGTACTCTTCACTGCAATCCAGGGGCACTAGTGCAATGCAAAGGACATCTTCCCAGCTATACACAGGGCATACATTTCACTGAATTGGATTTTTTTTACATTTTCGGCTATAGTTCAGCGTTAGCAAGTCACTTACCTGGAGCAAGCATGCAGCTAGGGAAGTCATAAGCCCTGATCTGTGTGCTTGTTTTAGGGCAGATACCCGCCAGGTAGTACAGTCATTGCCATAACATCATGACAGTTGGCAACTCTTAAAATGAAAGTCAGCAACTCTGATATTTTATTCAGCACAGTCTTTATCCACACACTCAGGGTGATAACATGTATGTTTATGTAACAGGTATTTCAAAAACATCTGATCAGGCTCATCCTGCGTAGTTCATAAATAATGGAGTCTCCCTTTCATTTGATCTGAGGGCCACATACACAGTAGAATAGAATGCAGGTTGCTCAAGGACAATTGGCACGTCGGAACTGAAACCACCAGCCTGATGCCAAATATTAGAAAAGGATAAACAAATGGCTATCAATTGGTAGCAAAATACAAAGAGGAAAACAACAAATGGAATACTGTAACATAAAAAGGGTTCAAATCCAGTTCTAGCTCAAGTCAGGGAAGAGGCCGAACCTTTCTCTGATTGTTGTTGCTCTTTGTGTTGGAGAGTTTCTCCTCGCTTGTATCCTTGACACATTGGTGACAATAAAAAGTGGTTTCTTTTCATTCTTGACTCAACAAAGAAGGGTTAGGGCTAGGGTTGCACCGATGCCGGTTTTTCGGTATGGAGTGTGAGTAGCAATATTTTCTTTTCGGTACTCGCCGATACCAAATACTGGAAGTCCCATTGAGGAGGCCAGGCGTCGTGTAATGACTCGTCACCTGGCTTCCTGATTAGCAGGGAAGTCGTCCCCGTGCTTCTCGTCACTAGATAGCATGGAGCCAGCTTCCTGGCCAGTCAGGAAGCCACTCATCCTCATAGATTGAGCCCGCGTGTGACAATGAAACTGTCACACGTCGGCTCAATAGATCGGGAAGTGAGCGAACCCATACCGTCGCTCGCTCACTTCCCTGCCACTCACGGCTCCCTGCAGGGATTCTCCCCTTCCCCGCTCCGATCCTCCAGCGCTGACTGGAAGAACAGATGGGAGAGGGGGCGGGCACAGCTGGCTCTGCCTCTAGAAAGGCAGAGCCAGCTGTCACTCACGCATCTGGGTGAATCCAGACAGTAATGTTGGGATCCTTCCCGGCTGCGGCGTCTCAGTATATTGCGGGCTGTAGCTCGCGTTAAACTGAGCTTTGGGTCACCGGGGGACGTTAGTATATGTCCTCCCGTTGCCCTAAAGAGAACTATGGGGAAAAACACTGACCCCATAGTTCTCTTTTAAGGCTTAATTTAGAAATAAATGGTTTCGTTTTGCCAATCTGTTGCTGGCATTGTTCCTCGGTTTAATACTGAAGATGTCTGATACATTTACAGTAATAAAAAAAATAGTCCGATAAAAAGTATTGAAAAATTAAGCCATATGAGAAAGTCCTTTTGCTTTTTTATATTTGGTATCACACTTGTTGTGTAGCTGTTTTGGTAGCCTCGGTTTAATACTGAAGTTGTCTGATACATTTAGAGCCGTCCCCATGCTTCTCGTCACTAGATAGCATGGAGCCAGCTTTCTGGCCAGTCAGGAAGCCGGGCGCCATGTAAAAAAAATAGTGAAGTAAAAAAAAAAAAATGGAGCCATATGAGAAAGCCGTTTTGCTTTTTTTATATTTAGCATCAGCCTGATTGTGTAACTGTTTTGCGGGTTTATTAATACTTTTACATAAGAAGAATTTTGTGCCGGCTAGTAGAACACAGAAGCATTTGGGTGTAGAAGAAGTGCATTTGGGAGCTGTGCCCTTTAGTAGACTTACAGGACGACTACTCAGCTGTGTGCTGAACAATGAATCCCCTCACAATGACAGATTCCCCTGCAGTAAAATCTTCTGTGTTCATTTATCATAGTGTGTGAATGAAGGGCTGTGCTCGTTCTTCATTGTGTCTGGCAGTAGGAGAGGAATGCGAGAATCTGATTGATATGGGCCACACACATTTTGTATTGATACACTTTGATGAATTGGGTTACCGTAGCACCCATGGCATGCTAAAGTGGCCCGCCAGGTGATGTTATGTCTGAATCTAAATGCAGAAAACAAAAATGTAATACAGAACAAACAAACTAGAACCGATTCCTCCATCAATGTTATAACTGTTGATGGAGGAAATCTCCTTGATCGGTTTCCTTTGTAGTCTGACAGCAGCCGCCGGCCCGCTGTCACCATACCCGGGCAGAGCTGGCTGATCATTAGCTGCTAGCTCTGTCCGGCCTGTACAGCAGGGCTGGAGTGTGAGAGGAAGAGGCAGCACTGGGAGACAATCAGAGCTGATAGGAGGAGAGATCAGAGTGATGGAGAGATGAGCTTATCACTGTCCTGCATCTCCTTTACTGTCTAGTCACAGACTTTGGACATGGGTTGAGTCAGAGGAAGTGGATTGGATGGTGCTGGCCATCAGACCGCAGCCTTGTAGCTGCAGGAAATATACTGCAGGGTAAATCTCTGAACTGAAGGTGAATAGTGCAGCACACACGCATGCATGCACACACACGCCGGTTTTGTTCATTTATCTTTATATGGCATATGCGTTGTTATTCTGGGCTGGATCTCTGTTCCAAGAGTCTTCCATATCTCTCTGTATCCATATCTAATCTTCAGCATTAATCTCCTCTTCCTCATCTCCTTCCAGTGTTCTGCCTGATCAGACATGCTCATTTTCTGATGCTGGGAAATCCTTTATAAATCAAACACAAATGATAACTTGAACTTGGATGTATGTCATTGTCTTGACATTTATCGTGTTTTGATAAAAAATAAAACTAAAATCACCTTTTTCCTTTTTTTTCCCCTTTTGCTTTTTTGTACAGAAGGCGAAAGAGCGCTTCCCTCCATACCAAAGTAAGTCACTTCTCTTACTATCCTTTTATATGTCTATAGGAACTGTTCAATGTATTAGGAATACTGTTCTTTGTTGGAATTCCTCATTGAGAAATATGAATCTGATACTCTACCTCCATTTCTTCTGGCCGTTTCCCTTTCCCACTGAAATGTAAGCAGAACTCCAGCTTCTGAACATACCTAGGCTGGCAGAATGTGATGGGAGTCCCCCCATCCTTGGTCTGTGCAGGTTCTCATTCATCCAGGTCATGGTATATCTGTAAACAAATAAGTCAAGGCAACTGGACTTGCTGTATTTTTCTTGAAGACGTTTCACTAGTCATCCAGTGAAAAGCATGACAAGCGGAAGAATTTGGTCATCCCATATGTAGCTGGGGTGTCTGAGAAACTCAGAATGGTTTTTAAAAAACATCACATTCCTGTCTGATTTAAACCCAGCAATACACTGAGGCAACAACTGGTTCACCCAAAAGACCCAACGCCAAAACACAAGATGAACAGCATTGTGTATGCCGCCAAGTGCAGTGAGGAGTGCTCAGAATTGTATGTCGGTGAAACAAAACAGCAGCTACACCAGCATATGGCACAGCATAGAAGAGCCAAACCCTCTGGTCAGGATTCAGCAGCGTACCTACATCTGAAGGGAAAAGGTCACTCCTCTGAAGATAATCGAGTACTTAATTTTTGTACAAGTCTTTTTGAATTGAGAAAGCTGGTCGGATGACCAGTGAAACATCCTCAAGAAAAATACAGCAAGTCCAGTTGCCCATCCTTGGTCTTTGAACCACTTTTCCTAATATAGCTGATGCATTAATGTTCCCTCAGTTCCAGTAATCTGAAGCAGCATCGCACAGCAATTTCCGGTCTCGTCTTGCTATCATTTACACCCCCCATGGCTGTCCAGGCTACAGGGGCAATGTCATTACTAGCCATGCAAAAGAGGCCCTATTAGTTATGAGACTTGTGGTCCCAGTATGGGTGCATGCCGCCTTGATGGCGCAAACATGGCTACTCTCTGCCCATGGTATAAAGAGGAAAGGAAAGCTGATGGCAATGTGAGCCAAGAGAAAAACACTAAACTGAGAAGTTAAATGTTAAAAATGCATTCAAGAACCTTAATTATTAACATCAATGAGGGGAATTTATCAAAACTGGAGCAGACAGAATCTGGAGCAGCTGTGCATGGCAACCAATCAGCAAAATAGCAAAAAGTTTTCCTGGCACATTTTACTGTTTAAAGCCCATTCCGTGTGCACCTTACTGTAAAGCTGGGGACAAATTGATGAGTGTGTTTGTCATCTGTTTTGCTTGGCAACCAATCAGCGTCTCACTTTCATTTTCAAATCTTAACTGAACAAACTAGAGAGAAGCTGATTGGTTTCCCTGGGCAACTGCTCCAGATTTTGTCTGCTCCAGTTTTGATAAATTCCCCTCATGTATCTTATTTGTGTATCACTCAGCTGTAGATCCTCCAATCATCTCTGAATTGGTGCTGACATTGTCCTTCCTTCTGGAGGGGGGCTACTTTTGTTCTCCTTGGTCCCTGTGTGCGCTGTAAAGTAGTCACCACTCCAAGCTCACTCCAGGGATAGACTACAATCTCATGTTTAGTTTACTAATTTGTATTGAGATTGTAGTCCATCCCGGGAGCAAGCTTGGAGCGGTGACTACCTAACAACACACACACCATGGGGAACAAAAGTAGCCCCCCTCCAGACTTAAGGACAGTGTCAGCACCAACTCAGAGATGATTGGAGGATCTACAGCCCAGTGATACACAAGATACAGTTTTGGAAGTTTCCACCTCACCTCTTATTCCATTGACAACAAATGTTGGATCTTCCCATCATGTTGGTGCTGATTTCTAAATCTTCCACCTATCATATAGGTGGGTGAATGCTGTTCAGGCAGCACTACTGGCACTAGATGGAGCTAAGGAGCATAGGATTTTCCTATGGTCCTCGGCTTCATCCAGAGGGGGGAGTGCCGTTCGTGCAGCTATACGCTGGGTTTAAGATTTACAAATCGGCCCCTTTCTGACCTGGCCACAGTGATCACCAAGACAAACAGAATGAATATACTGAGCGGGCACACATACTGCAATAAAATAGGGACTGAGGTCACTGTTTTTTTTGTTTGTTTTTTTGCTTTGTGTGTCCTGTGCAAACACTTTAATTGCTGTATGTCGGTCATGAATACACTTTAAAGTCTTCCTTTTGATTTCCTGCTGCTTGGAGGGATATAGGCAATGTTGTATGTGCCATAAGGAGTCATAGACTCTATGGCATTCCCTGCTGGATTTCACCACCCGGAAAATGCCCATCATGCCTCAGGGCCACACTGCTCAAGCACTAGCACAACCATCCTCAGCCAGAGTTCTCTGGAACCCTAAGGTTCCTCCAGAGGTTGGTAGGGGTTTCTCCAGAGGTTGGTAGGGGTTCCTCCTGAAGTTGGTAGGGGTTCCTCCTGAGGTTGGTAGGGGTTCCTCCTGAGGTTGGTAGGGGTTCCTCCAGAGGTTGGTAGGGGTTCCTCCTGAGGTTGGTAGGGGTTCCTCCTGAGGTTGGTAGGGGTTCCTCCAGAGGTTGGTAGGGGTTCCTCCTGAGGTTGCTAGGGGTTCCTCCAGAGGTTGGTAGGGGTTCCTCCAGAGGTCGCTGGTTGCTACTTCCATATGAGGATGCCTTCATGGTTCTGGGTCTAATGCCACTAAGAGCCAAGCAACATGACACCAATGATCTCTTTAGCTGTCTATAAGGGTGACATTATAATCACTATAAGGAGAGCATTCTTCCCACTGATCCCTGATGAATTCACTCAAGCAGGGGTTCCCTAAGACCTGGGGGTACAAATATTGAGAATAGACACACAATGATAGACAATGGCTCTCAGGCTACAGTGATCCCATCTAAGCTAAACAGTTTCTACTCGCATGATTTGCACAACCAAAAATCACCTGCATTTGATTATGGAATTTCGTGGTCAAACGCTAGAACAATGGAGGCCTGTGGGGTGACCTACAAGGTTGTATGTGGCCTGTGTTAGCTGGGTAAGATTGCGCAATGCTCTGATCACATGCAGCAAGTCACGGCTGTCCAAAACTGTGTGGAGAGTCATATGCAAACGTTTGAGCAGCCCCTGGTGAAGTTGCACATGTTTTCGATGTGATCAGAGGTTTACAAAGAATCTGTCGGGGCACAGTCTTCATTTTTACAGAATTCTGTGAATTCCCTGGTAGTGTGCTCCGACATTCTCCTGCCATTTCAGGTGGCAAATAAGGTTGGGAATGCCACTGGGCAGACTTATGTAAATCTCAACATAGGATTGCCGTAAGCACAATCTCTTTGGCAGGTAAAATAGCTAGCTGTGTTTCATTTGTGTATTTAGCCTCCTGCCTGGAGTTCAGCTTTTAAGGGCTCCTAGAACTGAAAACAGCACAAAGTCTGTTAATGCAGCAGCCAAATACTCTCTGGGCCCTGAAAGGGTTAACTGGCTCGGGTGTCCAGAAAACACAGGAAGTAAAAGCCACATATGCTTTATGTACATATAAGCGGCGTGCATACAGCGTCCTGTATAATTGCCCTTTGTAGCCCTTGTCCCTGACAATAGTCCAGTATTCTGAGACGCGGGGTCCCGTGGAAGGGATCTTTCAGGAAATTCTAGTTGAAGCCGACCCTGCTTGAAACGAGTTAACGGATGACAAGTTGTGTCATTTCTGCAGCCTGGCTGTAAAATGAGTAAATTCCTGACATATCCTCCATGACGTGCTGCCTCTGCAGTCAATTCCTGGTTAAATCTCAGCCCGGTGGGTGGAGCCAGCTGTGTTTACCCCCGCCGTCTTTCAATACTGTGCCTTGTTCCCCCACCACCCCACCCTCTGTGTCTTGCTGTGGAATGGATCGGTCCTGCTCATTGCATAAGGTAGCCTGAGAAAGTGAATGCAGCGTCTATGCGAGTGCGGAGAATGTGCACCATTCACAGATGCAATCCTCTCTCTTCCTACAGGCTCGCCAACAGTGAGAAACATGGATTGAGACCACACGCCGTCTCCGTCTCAGGTAGGAACAGAAGCCGATTTAAAGTATTGTCGTAAAACTTTTCTGAATGTGTACGAGGTGCTTGTCTTGTTGGACAGGTTCAGGCGTCAAGGGGTATATGGTGGATGCTGTCGAACAGAGTATGCTGACTCCTGTGGTTCTCTTATAGTTTGAGGTGCTTGCTATAGACGTGTTTATTTTTACTAGCTTGATATTGCCTTCCAGTAACCTGATGGGCTTATGTAAAGCAAGCCTTTTATTAGAGAAACATGATGGCTACCTTTGCTGACCTCTCAGTGTTGCCGGGATCTAATGCTGACCCTTTTGCTTCAATACTTTGCGTCACAGAAGTTGAACAAGTGTGCCGAGAAGAATTTCGGACTTTTCAAATCTACATGTTTGTTCCAGGTCGGTAGTTGAGAACCATTATAGCCAATTGGTTGGTACATTCTATGGTCAAAGGTTTGCGGACACCTGACCATCACATCTACATGAGCTTGTTGGACATCTGTTCCAAAACCATGTTGACCTCTTTGGCTTTAACAGTCTCCAGGCACAAGATTTTGGAGTTTTTCTAGGGGAATTTGTGTTCCAAAAGAGAGTGGAAAGACGGGGCTTCCAGCTGGGGTTCAAGTTCCATCCCAAAGATGTTCGGTAGGGTTGAGGTACTGATGAGAAGACCTGGCCCACAATCGTAGTTCCAATTCTACCCAAAGGTGTTCAGTGAGGTTGAGGTCAGGTACTAATGAGAAAACCTGGCCCACAATCGTAATTCCAATTGTACTCAGAGGTGTTCAGTGAGGTTGAGGTCAGGTACTGATGAGAAGAGCTGGCCCACAATCGTAGTTCCAATTTTTCTCAGAGGTGTTCAGTGAGGTTGAGGTCAGGTACTGATGAGAAGACCTGGCCCACAATCGCTGTTCCACTTCTACCCAAAGGTGTTCGATAGGGTTAAGGTCAGGTACTGATGAGAAGACCTGGCCCACAATCGTAGTTCCAATTCTACCCAAAGGGGTTCAGTGAGGTTGAGGTCAGGTACTGATGAGAAGACCTGGCCCACAATCGTAGTTCCAATTGTTCTTAGAGGTGTTCAGTAGGGTTGAGGTCAGGTCTCTCGAGCTCCTCTACACCAGATTAAGCAAGCCATGTCTTTATGGAGCTGGCTTTGTACACGGGGCACTATCATGCTAGAACAGAAAAGGGTCTTCACCAAACTTTTGCCATGAGGTTGTATGCTCCAGCAGTAAAGCTGACCATACCCTGGCCAAATTGTGGCCGAGTCAGCATGTCTTGTCCAAAGTTTGACCAGTGTGTGACCCCATCATG